AGGTCGCCCACTATCAAGTTCAAGTGGTCAAACTTTCAAGGCTCATCAACTTCAAGGCTCGTTGAGCTCGTTGAACCGTCATTCAGTCCGAAATCGTTCCTTGCAAGTTCAAGTTTGCGAGGCGCGGGCCGGCTGGTCATCTCATCATGGCCTGCCCTAAATAGGCTTGAATCCGCCAGGCTAGTGCAGTCTTGGATGAAACGCTCATGTTGAGCGTTTCCATTCTGGCACTCCTTTGGATTTTTTCTGCAGCTGCTGTAAGTTATTGGCGCCAAAAAAAAAAAATGCTGTTCTAACGGTGGTCCTTATCTGAAAGCAATCCATGGGAACTATTGGATGCACCTCCACACGCGCAACAACATTGGGGTTTGACTGAGAACCTTCTTTGTACCCATCTCTTCAGCGAAAGAGATCATGTCAATAGCCTATATGTAAGTCATCCTGTTGCGTAAGTGATGGAACTATTGGAATCGTTGACGCATCCTTCATATACAGTATCGTAGTTCAACAATCGGTCATATATCGGTACAAAAGAGGATAAACATTGGAAACGAAGCGGCTTCCTCTAGCAGTCGTCAAACTCGGCAAATTTAGGTCATATCGAAGTAGCTCGGGCGCCACCTTCTCCAGCGCTTTGTGTCCAGTTCTATACACGCTTTACCTACCCTGTGATTGCTTACCCGGGCCGGGTACATGCTTCGATCAACTTTCACGTCTATGTCTCTTCATTGTCAATTGGATCTGTGGCTCGGATGATTCCCGGTATCGTTTTCGAGGACATATGCTCGTATTCGACGGATTGGCTTTACTCACCTGACAAGTTCAACGACCGAACACTCGCGCAACTCTAGTCTTGTCTGTCTTTATTATATAGTACACTGATCAAAGCTGCTTCAAGAAACTTCACTAGTCCGAGTCCCCAAAATGATTCGTGCAACTCCTCTTTCTCTGGTTTCGGCTTTGTTGTACATTTTACCTGCTGTATCGGCTCAGTCTCCAGTGTGGGGTCAATGTAAGACAATGCTTTTAATCTGAAATGAGAATTTGCTCACTTATTTCTTTATTGTAGGTGGTGGTACAGGCTGGACAGGAGCGACGACTTGTGTTGCTGGGTAAGTATTCCATGTTCTTCATCACTTCACATCTCTAAACTTGCTCCGTAGGTCGGTGTGCACATACTCAAACCCATGTAAAATTTTCGCCAATTATGAGCTCTTTTTCACTTGGTAAAACTAATCATTGGGTATTAGACTATAGCCAATGTTTACCTGGCACCGCGAGCTCCACAACGACTGTCAAACCAACGACAACAACCACTACAACGGGCCCAACGAGCACAACCACGACGCCCGCTGGTAACAGCAAAGCCAACTACTGGTTCAGCTTGTAATGCGCCTCTCTCTCTTTTTTCTTGCTCAAAACTCACTTAATGCATCAATACAGCGGAGATTCCTACTCGCAGACTGGCTTCAATATCGCTGGCGCTCTCCCGAACAATGCTAACCCGATCGGTAACCCTGCTTTCCCCGGGTACAGCGCGACGGGAGGCGCAAACTGGGTTGGATACCTCACCGCGACGTACAACAAATCCCTCATCTACACGTACAACTATGCCTATGGCGGCGCTACGATCGACGCCAAGCTCGTTGCTCCGTACACGTCTACCGTGCTTTCGATGACGGACCAGGTCAATCAGTTCTTGAGCACCGTCGCTACGAAGCCCGCGTCGACGCCTTGGACGAGTGCGAACGCGCTTTTCTCTATCTGGATTGGTATCAACGATATCGGAAACAGTTATTACAACTCTGGGGATCGCGAAGCGTAAGGGAATTTCCATTTTTCCTGCCAATTTAAATCTCATTCTTTTCTGTCAGATTCTCTGGTACCCTCCTTAATGCTGAATTCGCTCTCATTCAGAAATTGGTACATCGTCAGCCATGTTGTCTATTGATACACTAACACCAGGTGCAGTACAATGCCGGCGCAAGAAATTTCCTTTGGGCGAATGTCCCACCGATCGATCGCTCTCCATTGGTATGTCCCTCGAGATCTCCTCTAAGCACTTGCAGCAGCTCTAATATATTCTTCAGATGCTTGCTCAAACAACCTCGGCCCAAGCCACAGAAAAGGCCATAATTCTTGACTTTAACAGCCGTCTCGCGGCTAAGATTGCCCAATTCAAAGCCAATAACACCGGCGTGAGCACCTACACAGCTGATGGCCGCTTTCGCTTCTTCTAAAGATTTCTTCGTACCAGGTCACCACATTCCTGTGGGATTCCAACGCCCAGTTCACCACTATGCTTAACTCACCCAGCACCTATGGATTCCAAGATGCGACCTCATACGGATCGGCAGCTACTATGTTCTGGGGGTGAGTGTTTCGTCATTCCAGTGGGTTCTGGTATTGATCGTTGAATTGCAGAAACAACTATCACCCGAGCAGTTAGTTATCCTTATTCTGGTTACCTCTTTTTTTATCTTGATGCTGAATATCTCCTGCAGCTTACGCGAACAAGTTCTTCGGTCAACAAATCGGACAGACTGTTCTGGGAAATACAGTATGGTAGAAGGACTCCCTTTCTTGAGCGGCGATTTTCCGATCAGACTCGAGAACAAGTATTGACACATTAATGTAAAGACAATGGTAGTTCAATACTAAACTCTGTGTTCTGACAATATGACCGCTTGAAGTATTAAGCTCAAACCATAAGCCGATATGATCTACATGTACATGGGGAATCCATTTATCGCCAGGTAATAGAGTTCCACAGCTGGCGTCCATTGACCCCGACATTTTGAGGCTTGTATATATATTTCTACATGAAGTGCGCGAAGTTAGAGGAGTCCTAATATATTGAGTGCAAAGCGCAATAGTTAGACGTCAAACCAATGCACTGGAAAGTCGTCGAATTCAGAAAAGGCCGTCTCCATGAAATACGCCAGCATATCCAATTCGCCTTTTGTCCCTCTTTTATTCCATGTTTCCTCGCAAATCTTCAACCTCAGCCCGGCTTCCTTCAACTTATGAAACGAACGGAACGCCGTATCTGGCAGAGGTATGATATTGTCTCTTGGAAACCTATTGACCAACGTGAACTGGACAGTGTGAGGTGGGCTTGGTCCTCGGCGATTATATGGGTCCTTGTGGTTTGTGTGAAAAGCCATTCGGTCGTTCAAAGCACTAGTTAAATATTCGAAGGCGCGCGTCAATGAAATCCAAGCTCGCATGTCGTACTTCGCTCCTCGGTATTTGAAAATTTGCAGGTTCGGAAGGAAAGAGTTCGGCACTCCAAAAAAGTTGAAAGTAAGCTCCAACATTTCAATGCATAAAAGGTCGAGCTTCCAGCATTCTAGATATACTTCAGTGAGAGACGGAATGAGTGCCAACACCGCGACGAGAGAGGCCGGCGAGATGCAGTCGAAGTCGATTTGTTCGAGGCTGAGAAATGTGATGTTTTTGCCTGAACGCTGTAAAAAATCTGAGAAAATACTCATGTCCAAGGGTATTCTTGAGCGTTTGAAGTTGTAAGTGAACCGTTGTAACACTGGGAAGGTGAGGTGTTCAAGGGCAATGCAGATATCGCTCCCACCGAACGTTTTTGGGAAAAGAATTAGAGATTGAAGGGTTCCATGTGTGAGGTTTTGGGGAACTGTATACGTCGAAGAGATTTCACAGATATCGGTTAGATCCAACTCCCGTAGCCCTGGAGCACGCCTCAGGATTTCGAAGATTTCGTCAATGCTAGGCATGCTAATTTGGATCGAGGTCAGATTAACGCAATCTAGTTTGACCGTTTTGAGGCAGATGTTAGATATTTTCAATGTCGAAACCCGAGGAGTTACCAGAACAACGATGTCTGGTTCGTCCTGGAATTCCTTATCTGTTATGTGCAGCTGAAGTGTGCTAAGGATAGGGGCGATCAGCAGAGAAGTGCCTAGGAAGACTCTGGAGAGACTCGTTGGCATCAGCAGGTTCAGGGTCTGCCAACGAGCAGCGTAACATCCGATAGTGGCCAAAAATGCGATTTTGTGGGGGAGCATAGGAATCTTCGCATTCTCTCCATTTTTGGGCAACGATATTCGAATTGACAAGGGCATAACCTTGGCACGATCCAACCACGCCGCCATAAGATCTTTGTACGCAAACCACGAAGGCGAATATTTGATGAGAAGTGATGACCACAACGAAGGCGTAGTGAAAGCTATGTCTCTCCACGTCGTACAAACAGACGCGAGGTACATGGGGGTTGTCGTATGAGGAATGGGCATTGCACGCGACAAGACTAAGGCTGGATATCCGGAATCTTCGCAATATATATCAAATATTTTGGAGATTAGTTCATACGGGAGGTAGGAGGACAACGGATCGTGGCTGGCGTTGATTCTCTCGAGCAGGAGACGACGCTCTTCCGTGAAGGTAGCCTTTGAAGACAGATTCAATGCATCGAATGATCCTAGTTCTGTACACGCTGAACATGGCTTTCCGGATGAGAGTTGACAGACATATGACATTTGAGGATAATATGTTGATTCAGTGCCCTTTCAAAGCCGCTTGTTATTTGCAAAAGTTCTCAACTTAGAATCCATATTCAGAAGTTTACTTCGTAGCCTTCAGAATCTGATATTTGGACTCACTTGCAGGGCGATGCGGCTTGACTTTGAACGATAGTATGATGGCGTGATGTTTTGATGATGGTAGTCGACTTCCAAGTCACTTTCGACAACTTTCAATGTAGTCAACGTCGCCGGAAATTGCCGGAACTGTACTCTGACTCGTCTATGTGACTCTGCGCTGAATCTACTTACCTCTGGTTGAGGCCTATTTTACTAATATAACTCAGGTGCGAGCACAGTGACTGCTATTGTTCTCCTCAAAGACGTCAGAAAATAACGCCAGTCAAGAATGGCATGGAAAAATTCTAAATATGAGTTCGAACTTCGAAGTTCGAAGAACAAAGGTAATTTAACTGACTTCGGATGTCAGAACATCAAAAAGGATGGCCAACTTGGGGATCGAACCCAAGACCTTCGCCTTATTAGGACGACACTATAACCAACTAAGCTAGTCGGCCATGCATTTTGAACAACGTTGTCACTTCAGGACCGGGAGATTAAATTAGCTCAAATCCTGATTATAGCAGGATTCGCCTACTAATATCTAACACTATGAACATTAATCCATAAAATATATTTAAGAGCTTCGCTCCTCGGGTTTATATCTCTTGAATTCCGCTAGAATACTTGGGGGAGACCGAGGAAAGGTACGGACGGGCGCTAAAATGACGTTCGGCAATATCCGAATTTGGAGTGGACGGGTGAATGTTCTGGCCAGAGTCCTTCCTGACATTCTTCCCTATTTTCCCCCCAACTTTTATTGTTGTCAAGGCGTCGATCCACATTCGCATTATACTCAACTTAAATTGCCACGCAGATATTCTTTCATGACCACCGCAACTAACTTCTCCGAGCCCGGTTCGGAGGCCTTACATGCCGACGCCATGTATAAATGCTTGTCATTTGACCATTACCACCACCTTACACTTCAATAGCTGGTATCTGTATCGATCCAACATGGTCAACGGTACACTCAATATCACGCTATGTTCGCCACGTTCATCGTCAGGACAGGACCCACAGAAACCAGTCATAGCTGTGTCGCCAATACCAGCCGAATGTCCAGCAAACCATGTTCTCATCAAGGTTGACCGGTTTGGATTCTCTGCGAACAATATCACATATCAGGCTCTCGGAGAACAGCCTCATTTTAGGTGCGCAGGATACTTGAGTTCGACTCAGACCGTTGAACTGATTTGCTTTTGTTTGAATTTGAAGGTACTTCGACTTTCACCCAGCGCCAGAATCCGAAGATGGGACCGTCTCACCGCGTACGCATGGCTTGATCCCAGTCTGGGGTTTCGGTACTATCGTCAAGTCATCGCATCCAAAACTTCAAGAAGGAGAACGCGTTTATGGATACTTGGCGCCGACACGTTATTTGTTGCTTCCAGTATCGCCCTCTGACGTCAACAAGTTTTCTTTTTACGTTCCTCGTCCACACCTTCCAGCAGGTAAGAGATTAGAATCATATGCCTGTAATATCTTTAAAATGAGTAATGTTCATTCCCAGACCGTCGGCCTTATAACCAAATTCTACGCTGCGCGAGCGACCCACAATATACCCCAACGCCAATAGCAGAAGACCTCACCATGCTCTACCGACCCCTCTTCTGGACGTCTTTTTGGTGCGAAGACTGGCTGCACTCGTCAGGATACCGTGGCGGCGTATCAACAATCCTCATATCATCAGCTTCCTCCAAGACAGCATTCTGCCTAGCCTACATTATCGGCAAGCGCATCCGACGAGGCGAAGCAGACAAAAACACCAAGGTCATCGGTCTAACCTCAAAAAAGAACCTGGAATTCACGAAGAAACTCAAGTTGTACGACGAAGTGCTCGAGTACGGCTCATTCACTTCAGCGCCCTCGTTCCACGGAAAACCAAGCAGCAAATGGATATACATAGACGTCGCAGGCAACGAAGCCATCAACACCGCTATCAATGCGCACTTCGCGTCTCCATACACCGCGCAGCTAGTAGCGAGCATCGTGCTCGGATTCACCACGCTCTCTCCGTCATCCGCTGAATCCACCTCTGTTGACTGGAGCAAGAACACCTTTGACGCCACGTCATCACCGACGGAATCCACCCCATCGCCCTTCCCGCCGAAAGTAGAGCACTTCTTCATGCCTGAGTGGCTGGACGTGCGGCGGCACCAGATCCCCATTATGGAGATCTTCCGGCGCCAGAACGATGCGTGGAAGGAGCTGATGCAGGACTGTCCTGTATGGGTAGAACTGGAGCACACATATGGCGCCGCGGAGGTGCAGGCGGTATACCAGCGTCTGTCGAGCTCTGGTCTGGGGCCTGATAAGGGTCTGATTTGGAGCTTGTGGGACGCCAAACCGCAGACTAAGTTATTGGCCAGGTTGTAATTTTATTGCTGTAATTTTGAAGGTGTGCACTTTTCGATGCGCGAATACATCGTGTGCTGAAAAAATCGAGTGTCCTCTAAGCGCGTTGTATCGTCTTTTTGTCTACCATCTCTCCAGAAACCTCTAATCCGCAATGACCCATCGCATGCGCAACTTCCGTCCACCCGAACTAGAACCAACAATTACGACTCGGACGCCTACTACGCATAGGAGATTCAAGCGTCGACCAGCCAGTCTCCGACGACATGAGAAGTCTGAACCAGTCTCATTCTCATCCTCCCGCTCCCTTCGTTAGCCGCAGCCTTCCAAATGCCTATAAAAACCACCCCAATTCTTTACCGTCTCGCTATCAATCCACCGCCCCCAAACCTCTCATACCAAGTACCAGCTGCGCTGCGTCACTTAGTCGTTCGATTACCACTAGTACACCACTCGCCGCCGTTCATTTCATCGCGCTCTACCACACTTCGTTAACGTCACCCAACCAACCGAACGAACCCATCACCATGAGACTGACCACCAACTTCGTCCTTCTCTCACTCGGAGCGTTGTTCGCGACGATGCCCGCCGCGCTGGTCGCTGCGGACGGCGGCCCGCCCCCTCCCCCTCCTGGACCCCCCAACGGCGGCGGCGGACCCCCACAGAAGCCTCAAGGCCCCCCACCACCCCCGAACGGCGGCCCCCAGGGAGGACCTCCTGGCGGTGACGGCGCTGACAAGTGGCACCCTCGGCCCACTACTACTTCTTGCACTACCACCACCACTCCAACCACCACCCCGTGCACCACCCCCACTTGGCATCCCCATCCCCCACCTCATCCAACGAACACGCAGGTCCTGTATGGCGTTTGTGCGTCCTTTTTCTTTTAGTTTTGGGTGCCAGATTTCTGATTTTGTCGTCTTCGTTTCCGCAATTAGGTGGTGGCTACTACTGGACTGGAACGACTCAGTGCGGCAAGGGCGCGTACTGTCGCAAATTTTCTGACTGTAAGCTTCCTTTCATTCGCTCTTTCTCCTTTGAATGTATGTGGCTCACTGGATTTTAGGGTACTCGCAATGCAACCCGATCGGACAGTAGAATAGCATGCATGTATTTTCCGTAGTCGTTGAAGGGCAGTGGCTGGAATAATTGATCAATATAAAAACACCTTGTGAAAAATCCTCTTGTTAACACACGTCTACCGCGATTGAAATTTTGGAAAATTTCTTTTGATGAAGTCGTAATTCAAGCACCAGTGAATATTTGAATAGTCGAGCAGGCGAAAAGCGATTGGCAATGGGGACACGCGAAACCATTCGCAATCTTTTCAAACCAGAAAGTCTTCGAATGGCCGAGATCGTTTCGAGTTCGATGCGTGAATCAATAAAAACCATTGAAATAATTAAACGAGGTGATGAGGAGGGGTGTGTGTATGACGATGTGTAGGTGAGTAAAGTATATATAAGATACGCAATGACGGGCAGGAGGTCATCGACCACGAACTACGCCTTCTGCTTATCAGCAGCAGCGCTCGCAGCGGCAACCACGCTGCCAGGGGGTGCAGCCGACTGGCCAACGGCGCTCGGCGCACCGGGTACGGCGGGGGGAGGCGCCGCACCGCGGAGTTGGTCCATCGCTTCCCAAAGGGTACCGGGCACCTGTGCGGCCATTGCTGCCTGGTCTTGTGCAAGCAGACGCTCGAGCTCTTCCTTGTTATCATCAAGATATTTCATCTCGTTGCGGTAGTGCTCCTGGGCCTCTTGACGCTTCATTTCAAGGTAAGTCGGTGGTGGTTGATCTTTGGGACGTGATGGAGACTGGAGAGAGATAGGTCAAAGAAAGCGAGAGACCTTGAGAATGCGAACTCACGCCCGACAATCCGACAAGGGAACCGAACGACAATCCACCAGATGCCTTCTTCGCCTTCTTTTCCTGCCACTCCGCGACGTGCCTAGCCTTCATCTCAGCTTCAACCTTGGCGTACTCGACGGGGATGTCCTTTCCAGCGTAGGCCTTGATAACGCGGCGTACGTCTTGAGGCTTGTAGATAGCAATAGCTGCACCACATTGTCAATAATCACGCAAAAGAAAGGATACAAGAACACACATTCAAGGAAAGGAATGATGGCGACGAGGCCCTTGTCTTTGGGGTCGCCCTTCCATTTAGGCAAGATAATGGCATTGTCGGGATCCTTCGCTGCGTGTTCCGGATCTGTATCTAGCAGTACTACTTTTGACAGGTCGCGGTTCAGATAGGCCAAATCCTAGAGGAAAATGAGATACAGCAATTGGCAGCTTCATGCATACGCTACGCACCTTGACGATTTTACCATCAACCATGTGGGTCGCCTCTCGGCAAAGACGATATGCGACGAAGAATCCGTATCTGTCGAGTTTGTCTATGATAGGGTTTGCGGTCTGTAGTAGGTTAGCTTGAGAGCGCCAAAGCGAAAGGCGAGCATACGTAGTTGGGTTGGGTAGTGAAAATGACAACTTCGTAAAATTGGGAGATGTAGGCCAGGAAATAATCGACGCCTGGTCGTTTTGCAGTTCGCCATCCATGTTGTCGCTGTCAATAAATTAGGATAGTCTTTGGAAGGTAGTCGAAGTACTCACATCCCATGTTGATGTGATTAGAAGATCGTCGAGGGATAGCAGGAGAGTATATGGCTTTTGATGTGGGGCGGGGGCGGGTGGGGGAAGGAGTTCAGGCCAGGCTGGTTCGCTGAAATACTGCACACGAATTACTGAAAGCGAATCATCGAAGAGTGGCGCTTCTTACAGCAAACAACGACGAGAATCGCTCTTTCGTTCGTCCCCAGCGCGTTGTTGGCACATCTTCTGGTTTCTGACAGGACGGTAAGACATGGTACCATAGAAATATATACAGTCACGTACGATTTTCTTGCCCTTCAGCTCGTCTTCGTCCCAGTCGCGTCCCATGTAAATGGTCTGCGCCGTGAATCCCAGGCCCAGCAAAGCAAGGAATACACGACTCATAAGCCGTCGTTTCCTTTCATTTGTTGATAGCGAACCCTTTGACGACTTGGCTCCCGTTGTCTTGGTCTCTTCGTATTGCGGCGAGAAATCCAGCGTGGCC